ATATATGCAAATCAATAAATGTAATACATTACATCAAAGCATGAAAAATAGTCATATGATCATCTCAATCGATGAGGAAAAGGCGGATATAATTTACCATCCATTTGTGACAAAAGCCATGAACAAATTAGATATAGAAGGATCATAGCTCAACAAAATACTGACTATATCTGATTAACTCACAAGCAATATCATACCAAATGGGGAAAAACTGAAATAATTTCCTCTAAGATAAAGAAAAAGAGTATCCATTTTCACAGCTTTTACTTTTTCTTGATATAGTACCAGAAGTTTTAACCAGAGGGATTAGGCAAGAAAAATAAATAAAAAGCATAAAAAATATAAAGTGAGAAAGTCAAATTGTCCCTGTTTGCAGATTCTACATATAGAAAACTTAAAGTTTCTATGAAGAAGGCAATGATCTGAATAGACATTCCCCAAAAGAAGAAATAAAAATGATCAACAAATATATGAAAAAAATGCTCAATGTCATTAGCCATTGAGGAAATGCAAAACTACTATCAGACAACATCTCACCCAGTTAGAATGGCTTGCTTATATATAAATGATATATGACTATATATATATATAAAATATCACATATCTCATACATATGAGATATGTATATATACGTATGATTCATATATATATATATATCCATCCCCAAATGGATGTGTGTGTGTGTGTATATATGTATATATATATATAAAATGTTATATGTATATATATATATATACATATATATATAAAATTAGCCATTGAGATGGCTAATACACACACACACACACACACACACACACACATATCCATCCCCAAACCCAACAAAAAATGCTGTCAAGAATGTGGAGACTGGGCTGGGGATATTGCTCAGTTGGTAGAGTGGTTACCTTCCATGTACAAGGCCCTGGGTTCAATCCCCAGCACCATAAGAAAAAAAAAAAAAAGAACATGAGGGACTAAGAGAACTCTTATAGAAAGAACTCTTATTCACTGATGATAGGAATGCTAATTGGTACAGCCATTATGGAAGTATGGAAGTTCTTTAAAAAACTAAAATATAGGTCTATTATCTGATCCAGCTATCCCACTTCTAGGTACATATTCATAAGAAATGAAATAAACATACCATAGATACCTGTATGCCCCATTTTAATTGTAACACTATACATAGTAGCTAAGGTTTGAAATCAGTTTATGTGCCTATCAACAGATGAAGGGAAAAGTACCTTCTCTTCATATCTGTCTCTTTTACACTTATCATTTATTTACGGCTTAAAATTTTTTAAATTAATTTCTCTAACTTTTTAAAATATACAGTACCTCATTATTAGTTAGCACCACTCTATTGTACAAAAGCATAACAGAACTTATGAATTCTATCCAATTATAACTTAAAACTCTTTGATCAATTCCCCCAACTCATTCTTCCCTACTTTCCCCAACTTTTGATAAACACCATTCTAATCTCAACTTCTATGAGATCAACTTTTTTATATTCCACATATGAGTATAATCATATGGTACTTGTATTTCTGTGCCTGACTTATTTCACTTAACATAATTATCTCCAGTTCCATCCATGTTGTCATAAATGACAGGATTTCATTATTTTTATTGGTTTAATACTATTCCATTGTGCACACATATAGCCCTTTTAATTATTTATTCACAGTGAATGAACGCTTTGGTGGTTTACATTACTTGGCTATTGTGAATAGTACTTCAGTAGGAGAATTACATTTCCTTTGGATAAATATATAGTAGCAAGACTGCTGAATCATAATGCAGTTCTCTTTTTAAGTTTCCATAGTGTTTTCCATAGTTGCTATGCTATTTTACATTTCCCCTGAATATGTAAGAGTTCCTTTTTTCCCCTACATCCTTGCCAGCTTTTATTTATTTATTTTTTCTGACAATAGCCATTCTTACTGAGGTAAAGTAATCATTGTGATTTCAACTTGTATTATAATCTATAAGATAATTTTAACATCAAGGCAATATTGGCGTTATTTTTTAAAACTTATGGTTTTGAAACTCATGTCCCCTTATAAAGCATAATGAATTTTTAGCTATATTTGAGCTGGAATAAGGAAAATTCAATAGAAGAGATTCTTGAAAGAGTCATATTAAGTGCAAGAAGAAACCTTGATTTCAACCATACCCTTAAAGAAAACCAATTCTTGGGGCTCTGCTGCAGTAATTATCTTATAATTACGAATGTGTGATTAAATTTGTATATTTTTAGAAACTATAAGACATGGTGATATGGATTATATTAGGAATTTAATGTGTGGTCATAACAGATTGACTTGAATGTCCTATGAACTTTAATTACACAGAAAGGAATATTAGTAGATTTATTACTTTGGAACTGTATGTTTTTAATTACGGTACTTTATTGAATGCCACAACAAGAAAAATTTTGATGCTTATTAGATAAGGGGTAAGAGACTTTTTGACAAAGTTAGAATTTACTAAAACATGCTAAAGAATAGGGAGTAAGTTAATTTTTGACAAAGCTAGTATTTACTAAAATATATGCTACAGAATATAGTATTGTGGTGTAATATTTGCTTTTATGTTTTTTTAAAGTATTTAGAAAGAAAGTTAATCAAGAATGTGATTAACTTTGTGCTTTGATTATGTACAAAAATTGATGGAAGAAAGTGAACAAGACACATAAAATGGAAAGATACCCCATGCTAATGAATCAGAATAATTAACATTGTTAAAATGTTCATACTATCCAATTGGAATCAGTGCAATCCTACTAAAATCCCAAAGGTATTCATCAAAGAATTAGAAAAAAATCCTAAAATTTGTGTGGAAGCACAGAATACACTAAATAACATGAGTAATTCTAAGAAAGAAAAACAAAGCTGGAAGAATCACACTTCTTGATTTTAAATTATATTTCAAAACTATAGTAGCCAAAGCAGCAGGGTATTGGCATAAAAATGCAAACATAGGCCAGTGGAACAGAATAGAGACCCCAAATAAATGCAAACACACAATTTAGATTAACTAATTTTTTGGATGTTAACTAATTTTTGACAAGTACACTAAGTGGTCACAGTGGGAAAATTTTCTCTTCAATAATTGATGTTGAGAAAACCAGATTTCCACATACAAAAGAATTAAAGCAGACCCACTATACACAAAAATAATCTCAAAATTGATAAAAGAATAAAACTCCTACAAAAGGGCTTTGGGGAAAGTTCTGTGTTGGCTGTGGCAATAATAATTTGGATATCACACCAAAAGCTTAGGCTGTAAAAGCAAAAATAAACCCATGAAACTACATCAAACTAACATGTTCCTGAAGAGTAATGGAAACAATCAACAAAACTAGATGGCAACCTGCTATTTGGGAAGAAAAATTCAATTGGATATCTGATAATATCCAATGCTTATATAAGCTCATGCAACTACACAGCAGAAAAATATCTTGATTAGAAAATGGCTAATGGACATAAATGAATATTCTTTAAAAGAAGACTTATGGATAGCCGATAGACATATGAAAAGGTGCTCATCATCATTAATCATCAGGGAAATGCTATGTAAAAACCACTAGTAGATGTCAGCTCACATGCATTAGGATGGTTATTATCAAAAAGTCAAGAGATGTTGGTGTGACAATGTGGAGAAAAGAGAACACTTGTGTACTATTGGGCATGTAGACTTGCAGCCTTTATGGGAAACTGTCTGGAGGTTTCTAAATAAATTAAAAATAAGACTGGGGTTGTAACTCAGTGATACAATGATTGTCCAGCAGCTGCCAAATCTTGGGTTCAGGCTTCATTACTGCAAAATAACATACCCAAAAGAAATGAAATAATCAATTTGTACATCTATATACTCTTGCATTCAATGAAGCATTATTCACAATAACCAATACATAAGCAATCCAAGTTTCCATCTATGGAAGAATAGACAAAGAAACTGGTATATATACACAATGAAAAATCCACTTTAGTGCTTAAAAAGGACATGGTTGAACTTGAAGGGCATTGAGCTAAATGAAATAAGCCAAATACCAAGTAATCTCACTTAACATGTAAAATCTATAAAAACAAGTCAAATATATAGAGAATAAAACAATAGTTACAAGGGTGAGATGAGGAATAGGGAGATGTAGACTAGAGCATACAAAATTTCAGGTATTAGAGATCCAACGTACACCATGAGAACTACAGTTAATAAAGTTGCATTGAATTAGGGATTTATGTTAAATGAGTATTTTTTACCCATTTTTCCTGTGATAAAATGGATATGTTAATTTGCTTCACTATAGATAGTAATCATTTTATTCTACATTTCATACAATACCATGTTGGTTGTGTTAAGTATACACAATATATTTTTAAAAGTTGTTGGCATAGTCAAATTGATTTAGGGATTTATAAATTAAAAAATTTAATAGATTTTGTTATTTAGGACAGCTAATTCTTTAAGATATATGATATTGGGCAAGTACTAAGTAGTATTTTTTAAAATAATTGCCCAAGTATCTTTATTTTCTTTTTTAAATTTGGTTCCTTTTGGTTTTATATGACAGAAGAGTCTATTTAGACATCATTATACAAGCATGGAATATATCTTGTTCTAATGCAGACCCAGTACCTCAGTACCTCTATTTTCAAAGACAGTTTATAGAGAGTGCTCCATATAAATTCTGTACTCATGAAAAGGTGGAATAAACATAATCAATGTCTTGTTTCATTTCAGTAATTTCTGGGATAATATTAAAGAGCCCCTCATAGTAAGACTGCAAGGATCCTAAATGCCTATACCAATGGCCCCAAGAAGATGCTTCTAAGCATTGGCAAAGACTTGAGGATTTTGCTCAGATTCTTATGATCTTTCTCCTTGGGTTGAAATATTCCAGATTGTAAATAAATTTCAATGCTAAGTCCAAAGGGGGTGTGGGATGATGCAAAGCAATGCAAAGCAATGCCCTAACCATCTAAAAAGAACTTAAATGTCATTTCTTCCAGTATGTTGCTTCTAGGGAAGAGGAACCATGCTATAATGGAGTCCCAAGGATTTTGAAAAGAACAAAAGAATAGTAATAGAAGAATGTAAGGTGGGTAGGATTTGAACCTTTAATTGGAGAGAAAAAAAAAGGAGAAAGAGCTTTATTTCTATGTAAGTTTTGTATTTCCTTTTTATTTTTATATTACTTAGATGTTGGATAAGGGAGTCATTAAGGACCCCTGAACTGCATGTGTAGCAATGGTGTCACTCTTGCAAGACCCAAAAGATGCTAGTACCTCATGGAGCAGATCTCTAAGAACTTCCTATTGTTTAGGGCTAGGCTGATTGTGCAATTAGATTTAAAACAGATTTATCCATTTTCTAACTCTGTTTAGCAGTATAGCTTCTTACAGAACTTTGGGACAGATCTCAGGCCAGGAATAAAGTTATACCTGCATAAAGTGGCCCCCTGTTTATAAACCCCAGAAATCAAATGAGATGGAATAGTTTGGCGTCCTTAGAGGGATTTAGAATGTGAGATATTTTTAAAAATCCCTCTGCTCTTCCTTAGAGACTTCATCCCCACATAGATGTTGACTTATCTCTTCCTTAAAGTCTATTTTAATAGTGTTTCTTGGAGTCAGATCAAATATTAATAGGTTTTTCCCCTTATTTTTCAGGTACCTTGATCCTGTTTACCCACAAGTTCTTACATAGGGATAACCAGTAGTGCTTTTGGGGACTTGTAAAGCTTCTGCAATGTTTCTTTTGAAAAGTGTAGTTTCTCATTGGTTACCAATGAGTTTACACTCAGGTCAGGTGGTGGTTGAAAGAGAGTGCTTTGTTTTCTAGTTGTATAATGCACATTCATTTCTTGTTTTACTCTGAGTAGAATTTAAATATATTTTATTCTGATAATTTAAATTGTATTTATGAAGCCCTGTTTATCCCAGGTTCAGTGGGGAAGTTGTAAGAGCTACATTGGTAGAAAAAGAGAAAAATGGTTAGAAGTACACCTTGCCACTTCAAATACTCCCACACTGCTTTGCCCAAAGCAGTTCAACTTTTGTTTGAAATATTGGCATTTTAAATAAGATTTTATGTAGAACTGTTTATGCTGTTTAAAAAACTTGGACAGTAGTAACTTGATTTAATAGTGAGTATTCTAAAATGGTAATCTTGCCCATCCACACACAAAGTAAGATGAAGAAAATCACAAGCTCTTCCAAACTTGGTAGAGGGAACACCTTCCTATTCATTCTAGGAGGCTAGTATTACCCTGCTATCAAAACCAAAGAATCACAAGAAAATTACAAAGAAAAGAAAATTCATATCTGTTATGAATATAGAACACAAAAAATCTTTAAGAAAATGATACTAATCTAGCATCATGTGAAAAGAATTATATACTATGATCACCATGAGGAATGCAAGGTTGGTTCAATATACAAAAAGCAATGTTTTATGCCATGTTAGCAAAATATAGAATCAAATCACCTTATAATTTCAATATACTGAAACCTCAATATACCTAGAAAAGGCATTTTAAAAAACTGATATGTTTTCATAATAAAACACTCAATAAACTAGTAATTGGAGATAACTTCCTCATCCTAATAAAGGATGTCTATGAAAAACCCTTACCCACCACCATATTTATTGGTGTAATGCTGACAACTTTCTTTCCCTTAAAATTAGGAAAAAGACAAAGATATCTGCTTTAACTATTTCTATTGAACATCAAACTGTAGGTTCCAGTCAGCACAAGTAGGCAATTAAATAAAATAAAAAGCACTTCCACTGTAAAGAAATAAAACTACATAATATTATCAGATGACATCATATTGTATCATACAGAAAATCCTAAGGAATACACATATGCACAAGCACATCCCCTGACACAAACTGGAAGCAAATAAGTTCAACAAAGTATCAAAACACATTAATTTATAAGAATTACCTATTTGTATATAGTAGTTAAGAAAAATCCAAAATTAAGCAAAATAATTTACACAAGCAAAACATTGACTAAAATATAAGGAATAAGTTGAACAAAAGAAGCTCAAATCTTTTCTCTAAGGACTACAAATATCATTGAAAGAAAGACTTAGAGAAATGAAAAGCCATTCCATGCTCATAGATTTGAAGACAGCACATTCTTGTCCGTATACTAGAATCCATTGAATTTTATACTTTGAAAAGGTGACAGTTATGTGAATTATATATACATATATGTATATATATATGTATATATATTTAAAAAATGGAGGAAAAATTAATCATTACTCACCTTCATTTTTAACTGGTGTTGATGAAGCAACAGTTGCTGGCACCGGAGATGTATTTAATAATGCATTGTTGTTTGCTCCTAGTTTGATAAGGTAGATGACATTATTATTAATCACAATCTCATTTTACCTGTCAAGCCATAAGTAAAAGTAAATCAAATTTGGAGGTAAACTGGAATAGGGCAAGCCTTTGTCTACCTTTAATTTTTCCATTTTCCATCTCCTTTTGTCCAAAGAGGATTGTTAAGTATTGAATGCTTGAGAGGTCTGATTTTACACACACACACACACACACACACACGCACGCACGCACGCACGCACGCACGCACACCTTGCATGACAGATCCAAACAGCAAATTTCCTTGACAGGTTTTTTCTTTGGTATCACTAAATATGTAAAAATATATTGCAAGAACTATAAAATGTAGTAATTTAAAATCATTTTATTTTTCTCTGTGGGGAAAAAATGACTTGGCCAACAGAATCTGGGAATATTATGATTTGTTTTTCAGAATTACATTCCATTTTGTTAATTTAGTTATGTTAATGAAAATTCCAAATGAGCATAGGTATAAAGTAACTTGCAAACTCCTGTAATTAATTTGTTCATGATGTTCTTTGAATACCTGTTCTGTGCTAGGCCCCCTCCTAGACTCTTGGGGGTATGGTATTCAACTCTTAGTATCTTTTTTTTTATACCTTTATTTTATTTATTTATTTTTACGTGCTGCTGAGGATCAAACCCAGTGCCTCACATGAGCTCTACTGAGCCACAACCCCAGCCCTCTTACTATCTTTTTAATCTAAATAATATAAAAATAATTCCTAGCATTTAGTAATGTTATTTCAAATAAAGGGGTACACTGAGGACATGAGTGTCGGCAAATATGCAGACTTGCCTTAAGTAGTTAACTCCTCAGTGTGGCACACACTGTAGTAACAGTCTCTTCTTCCTTAATGCCCTTTTGTAGTTAGAGCACTGGTTCCCTATTCACCATATCGGCTACAGTCCTGGTTCTTATATTTATCAATGCCATTTTTGGAGGAAGAACGGAAGTACTGCACAGTTAATCTAATGCTTTGAAATCATAGTCCAGCAGGGAGTTTCAAAGGTAAATTGACTAGAGGATACCAAGGAAGATACAAATTGTGGAGGATTGCCGTGGACAAACTTTGAGGCAGGTCGGGGAGGCTTGGTCCACTGTTCACTCCTCTGTTCTAGTGGTTATTAGGGAGTACAGATTATTTGAGCAATGGAAATCACAGGCAGATTTGTGAATTATATTGGAAAGTGGAGAGCACCTAAGTATTTAGGACTTTCTAAAAATCTTAGAATCTTATGTGGTTGTAGTTTAAGAAAAGAAGTCAACAAAGGAAACCTTATTCCTAAAAGCTATGTTTGAGATTTTGCATGGCCCATTCATGTGATGTCAGCATCTTCAAAATAAGGTGTAACTATGTAAATAAAGTGTCCCCACTAGCCACACCTGGATTTTGTCTTCATTTCATCCCTACTCTTGGGTTTTCTGGTACCAACAGCAGGAAGAATCAAATTTTAAAAATTACCTTTCTGTTGTCTTTTACTAATACTGTAGGACACACATAATGATAATAATGAATATAAATAAACTGTGTCAACAGGGATCCTGTGATTATGTTGCTGATCATTATATATAATCAGTATAACAATATTTATAGTATAAACACGAGTTACTTTTCCAGCTTTATTGAGGTACAGACAAGAAATAAAAATCATACATATTTAAAATGTATAATGTGATGTTTTATATGTATACATGCTCTGTAAAATTATTACGACAATAAAGCTAACTAACATATCAATCACTTCATAAACTTAGCTTTTTTTGTGTGTGTTTGTTGACAACAGTGAAACTATCTTAGTTATTGTTAATTTATGAATATAAGTGAACATTTTGCATATATGTTATAGTGAAATTCTCCCTATGTGGTACATCTGTTAAAATTCTGATGTATAAATGCAGATTATGATTGTAAGTAAAATGTTACAGTAACTTAATTGTTATGGTTTAGATCAGGTATCCCCCTAAAGCTCATTGTGTAAGACAATGCAAGAAATTCAGAGACAAAATGATTGAGTTGTAAGAGGTTTAACCTAATCAGTGCTTGTTATATCTTGGTAAGGATTAATTTTGCAGTAACCATAGGCGGATAGGGTGTGACTGAAGGACATAGGTCCCTGGGGTTTATATGCCTTAGGGTCTATATTTTTGTCCTGGCTGAGCAGAACTCTCTTTCTACTTCCTGTTACCATGCTCCTAGCTGCTTTCCTCTGCCAAACACTTCCACCATGATGTTCTGCCTCACTTCAGGCCCCAGGAATGGAGTCAGCCATCTGTGGACTGAGACCTCTGAAACCAGGAGCCCTTAAATCAACTTTTCCTCCTCTAAAATTGTTCCTGTCAGGTCTTTTGGTCCCAGCCACAAAAAAGCTGCCTAAAACACTAAAGATAACTGATTTCTTTTAACTTTATGTTCAAAGTAACGATTAAAGTACTTCCAGGAAGTTAATCAGAGAAATAGACTGAAGTTAATATAAATATTGAGCAAGTACTATAACCATATATTTTTAGGGACATTATGTTATTTTAAGTCAATGGTGTTTAGATTAAGTCATTAGAATCTCATAAATCTACTTGTAAACTTGTTTTTGTAAACTAACATTTATAGCATTTCCCAAAATAACCTTTGAGAGCTGGGTTAAATTCAGCTCAGGTCACAAGTACTTCAATAAAATATCGAATTTGTAAACATTTATATCTTGTGAAGATAAACTCATAGTAAAATGTCAACTCTACCACTTTAAAATTCTGTGAAGAGGAGAAAGCAGAGAATCATGTATAAAAATATCTCAAGTAGTTCATTTTCAAATAAAACTGTAACAATAGAAAGAATGGATAAAAGGATAAAGAATATGGGGGGAAAATGAGGTCCCCAAACCCATTGTAATCCCAACTATTTTTAAAAAATACTTTTTAAAAAAAAAAACCCATTGTAATCCCAACTATTCATACAAGAAAAATGCTTTTTAAGTCTGTTCCTTAGTGTTTTATGTATTTCTTTTCTACACAGAGGAAATGCCACTTAAACATCACCACACCTAACACTTTATGTAAAATAGATGGCCCCAAATTACTTCTCTAGTGACCTTAAATTTGAGTGCCCGTTTAGAATCAGAAATGTCTAGCATTAGTGCTGAGAAATTTTTATTCCTGCAATATCATTCAACTTGTTAAAGATATTTGAATACTAAATGTTTTTAAATAAATCCAACCGTCACAGTTTAGGCACAATATTTCAAACCTGTTTTTGTACACTAGGAGTTCACTTTATGGTGGTGATATGCAGTGTCTGCCAAATTGTGTTTTTTAACTCTGGCCATTTGGTCTTTGCATAAAATATGCATTGTACTCCAAATACATCTAGGAAGAAGTCAAGTCCCAGCTCTTTAATTGGATTGTCTCTGAAAGCAAAACCTGCTTCTGGCAAAGCTCTATCAATCAGTTATGACACTGTGACTGTTTGGCTACAAGAAAAATTCTCCTCTAAGTTTCACTTTTTTTTTTTTTAACTTTTCTAATGTTAGATTTTTTTGTCATTGGCCAGAGAAAGAATATTTATGTGCTGTAGATAAACATAAGTACTATCAGTAAATATATATATGGCATATATATCATATATAAATATATATAATATATATCTATGTATATATATATGTATATATATATATTTTCTTCCTTTTTTTGGAAATAATTTGTTGTAGCTAAGAGTACCATGTTGGCCATGAGGAAGGAGAATAAGGAAATGCTTTAC